TATATGGCAGAGTAAGAAGTAGAACCTACTTTCTAAAATAAGAGCTTGAAAGTGGAGTAAGTAAGCATTGAGTAATATACATATTAAGCTAGGAAAAGCTGTCACAGGAATAAAATTAAGTCTTCATGCTGATCATCAACAACACAAGATAGAGTCCATGGGGTCACAAAGAGTCAGACATGACTGAGCAACTAAACACAGCAGAGCACATCATCAGTTAGGATGATTCCATCATTCATTCATCCAACAGATTATGTACTATATTCAATGCACTGTGCCAGAAAACACTTAAATACAATAAAGATGTTGTTGTCATGGAGTTTACTGTATAGAGATAAAAACAAAGTAAATGATTATAGAGTTAGAATATATAGTTTCCATGTGTTGAGGGAATTGTGTTATTTCCTGGGTTCTGTCTCACCACAACAAAAATATGAAGTTCAAGGCATGAGCGCAGGCCAACCCAGAAGACAAGAGAAGCCCCGAGGCTTAACTTTGGCTCCTCTTTTTATATGTTCTTTCTTCTCCGCCAAGCCTGCCCTATATAAACTGAGCTAGTCAGGAGGGCTGTGTTTGTTTCACCTGAGGTTCCCACTCCAGTCCTCAGACCTTCCTTTGTTCTATTTTTGTGGGCTTTTCCATTCTTTGTCTTTTAGCCACCACCATTCTGGACTCCTTTTTCCCATTCTACCTACCTAACACATGAGAGCTTAAAACAAAAGAAGTTGACCAGTCAAGGAAAAATGTTTAAGAAAATAGCACTTGACCTGATGACTACAGGTGAGAAAGCAATAACTTGTGTTTGTGCATTGTTAGGGGTTGGAGGGGGAGATTTGTCATAGTAGTTATGTATGCAAGACACTGTATGCAAACACCTTTGAATGCAAAAGAAGGCCAGATTTCAAACACTCTGTAACTGAAAACAGTCCAGTATTACTAGAATGTAGAAACAGACAGGGAGATAAAGTAGTTTTCCGTATGCCATATTAAATATTTTCATTTTATTCTAAAAGCAATTGGCTACCAAGTAACCCACTTAAGCAAGAGGTGTCATAACTAGATTGCATTTTGAGATCACTGGCTGCAGGGTGGAGAAGAGGTAATGCAGAAGCCAGCACAAATAAAGAAAGATCACTTAGTAAGAGACTGAAATAGACCAGAAGATATGAAGCTGATTTAATCAGCAGTTGGAAGGGGGAGAAACTGATGAATTTATAAGATATTTAGGAGGCTCAGTTGGCTGACAGGGTTTAGTGATGGATGGCATGGAAGTGACGGTGAGGAAATTGTCAAGCATATCTTTTTTGGCACAGTAGATGAATGATGGTGTCATTCATTGAGATAGGGAACTCAGGAAGAACATCGTGTTTTGGAACAAGTGAAGTCAAGTGCTTTGTCTTTGAGATATCACATTGATATTCCCTTGAGACTTCTTGATGGGAATGCCAAGTTAGCAAATGAACATTTCGTTCCGGAGCTCAGTGAAGGGGTCTCAGCCCATGCTGTGAGGTTTCTAATAGCTGGATGGACAAAAATAAAACTGCGATGATATAGTCAGCAAAGCAGCAGGAAATCCAGGACACCGAGTGTCATGAGACCAAAGGATGGGAGGTTTGGTCCATTTTGTTTTTTCCAAAGGAAGGAGATTACAATTGAAAAAGAACGTCTAACCCTGCTCTGTGTGTGTGCCTGTGTGTTAGTCACTCAGTCGTGTCTGACGCTTTGCGACCCCATGGACTATACAGTCCATGGAATTCTCCAGGTAAGAACACTGGAGTGGGTTGCCATTTCCTTCTCCAGGGGACCTTCCCAAAACAGGGGTCAACCTGGGCCAAGAAACCAGGTGGATTCTTTACCATCGGAGCCACCAGGGAAGCCCCTAATCCTGCTGAGAGGTCAAATAAAGAAGTGGGGGAAAAAAGCAAAGTGGCTTTGGGGATACAGAAGTCATTTAATAATCTTAAAGCTATTCGGCAGAGTGAGGAGGTGGAAAACCCTTTAGAGAAGGTTGAGGTGGGAGTAAGAAATGAGGAAATAAACATGGAAAACATTAAAACTCCGGTCAAAAAGTTTATCTTGAGAAAAGATGGAGGGAGTGCTCTTCTTTCAGCTACTGTGAAGTAGCTGAAACTGAATTTATTCTAACATAATAAACTAGAACACTGGGCAGAGCATACTGAACAACTATTCTCAGATACTGGACAGCAGGCAAGGTGGCATTGTGACCCAGGAGACAATGAGGTGCACTTGTATTTACCTTCCTTTTCTACCTAGAGATGCCTGGGCAAGAACAGTTATCCTAAGACATTCACAGAATTCTGGCAGAAATGAGGAGATGGAGATTCAGCAAAGGATGGTGGTGAAATGTGCAGGGCAAATTAACAAAGAGGAAAGTCACACAAGGGAAAAGCTCAGGAAATCTGCATAGGGCCTTTCTTAAACCTGCTGCGGAATATTAGGCCACAAATGCACAGATGGAAACTCCAAGAGGTTAATTTAAAAGAAAGAAATTTCCAGGGGACTTTAAGGAAAGCAACTTCTAGAGCTAACACAGTGCTGGAAGACTGAAGTTCTGGCCAATAAAAAGCAGAGAATTATTCCAATACTCACATGATTCAATAGGAAGACTAGAAGGGTTATACTTCATTAGTAGAACTAAGTGAACTCTGAAACAGCGTTTCTCAATAAGGGATGGTTTTACCTCTCCAGAACATCTTCAGTAATGTATGAAAACATCTTTGGTTATCACATTTGGGGAAGAAGGGGTACTACTTGTATCTAGCAAGTAGAATTCAGGGATGCTGGTCAACATTCTATACCTTCCGGAACAGTAGCCCACAGCAAAAGAATTATCCAGCTAAAAGGTAATAGTGCTGAGGTTAGAAACTGTGCTAGAGTAAAAGCAGTACTGTCCTTAGATAAGAGGCAGCAGTCCTGAGCCTGGCCATGCACCTCAGGGGCTTTTTGTGTTTTTCATTTCAAAGGCAGGTTTCCTCCATTGCCTGGGAACAGCCGAGACTACTAGCAATGGACCAGTGGAGATCCGTTGAGCTTTGCCCAGAAACTGTGTGGGCTCAGTCCCCATGTCTCTCCAGAGTGCTCAGAACCTTCCCATGCAAGGGGTCCATCAAGCGTCACAGGCAGTTCCACACACTTGTGGAACTGTTTAAGGACTGCATGGTTCTAGAAGGAGGGCTTTCACACTTACTACTGCTGCTAACTCACACAATGTCTGTTTCACAAGACCGTGAAACTATGTTACAGTTAAACTTGGTCACTATGGTGTTGAGCTGTCGGGACACTCACGCATGCGGAACACAGGTGAGTCAGTAATCTCTAGGCTGATGGAATTCCACCAGCAGCTTGAGAAGCTCTGCAAGCTAGTGGATGGGCTCCTCCAACCAAGCCCGCCAGTCTTCAGCACCTGAGGGCAGGGAGGCGGAATTAGATAACCCTGACCCTAGTCATTCCGTTAACACCAACACGTCCAGCCCCCAAGGCAGTGGCTTCACCACACTTACAGGATCGTGGGTCAGACAGCGCTTCACGGGTAGTCACACTCTAACCGCCAAGAATTTTCAAACCAGAGCTCTTCTGATTATCCTGTCTCTTGATTCCAATCTACCAATATGTGGTGATATTGTGCTTTTCTGGGTTGGCCCTCTGCTGTTTCAGATGAAGAACCACTGTTCTTTGAGCAGATACCACTGCTGTTAATGTGCCACCGACAGACCCTTTCCCCAACCTCCCCACTGATGGCAATGGACAGAACTTAAGACGGCTCTCAACCTTGAAAAAGACGACGTTTTAGGAAGGCAGTCACTGCAGCCTAGAGTTCAGGAGAAGAAAGAGCTAGGTGTGCTGTTCCACACATGTATGCTAGGAAATTCTGAGTGGTAAATTTACCATAACCAGAAAATAAGTTACTAGTATTTTCTGAATACTCCAGTAAGACAGATTTGTACTATTCTTCAATAAAAATCATACTCACATGGAATTATATTCAATATTCCATGATAAACATAATGGGAAGAAAATAAGAAAATATGTACAACTTAATCACTTTGCTGTCCAGCAGAAATTAACACACTGAAAATCAACTATACTACAATTTTTTTTTTAAAGCATCCTTACAATCATTATTGTTGCATCTCCCAGTAACAATTCACAAATGGGATATGTAAATATATGTTAAAAACACATAATAAAAAAGCACAATGCAAATTCACATTTGAACACAGTAAGCATTCATAAATACTTTGTAATTCCACTCTGAAGAGGATCCTTTAATGTAGATCCACTGAGTCATCGCTAGTCTATCTCGCACAGGTGCCTTCTTTAAAAATTCCTTTCAGTGGCATTTATTTAAATTAAATTCCTTTCAGTGGTATTTATCACATTTAACTAAAACCTAAATTTCAAGATAACCTGGCACTTTCAACTTAAAGTATATTAAAACATATTCATGTATCAAGAATCTGCCTGCCAAGTTAGGAGACTCGGGTTGGACCCCTGGGTCGGAAAGATCTCCTGGAGAAGGAAATGGCTACCCACTCCAGAATTCTTGCCTGGAGAACTCCATGGACATCTGAGCCTCGTGGGCTACAGAGCCTTGGGTGGCAAGAGTCAGACACAACTTAGCGACTAAACAACAGCATCATTATGAAAATAAATGGCTAAAGTATCTAGAAAAATTAGGGGGGAAATGTTTAATAAACATTCTGAACTAAAGAATATGAAGGACTTATTTTATTTATTTACAACCCTGTTTTCTTTGAAGAAACTTAGCCTTTGGGTTGCTATTCCTTTCCACAGGGGATTTTTCCCGACCCAGGGATCCAACCCAGGTCTCCTGCATTGCAAGCAGATTCTTTACTGACTGGGCCACCCCCTTTGGCGGCACAACTAAAGAGAAAACCAGTGACTCGGTGGAGTTTTAAATTCTGGCAACGTTTGTACTTTCTCCAACATAAGACTTAAAGCCTGAAGCTTTAACTTACCTGGGAACTGCCTGGGACAGCGCCTGGAGCTGCGGAGGCGCTGGAGCTGCAGGCGGAGGCGCTGGAGCTGCAGGCGGAGGCGCTGGAGCTGCAGGCGGAGGCAGGAGCCGCGCGCCTGGTCCATGCAAGACGCCCGGGACCTCGAGAGCCGGCAAGCGTGGGGGTGAGCTGACCCGCCGGCGGAAGCGTGTGCCTGGAGTGACCTAGGCTGCTGGAGCCGCCCGCCCTGGGATGTGCTGGAGGCCTTGGTTCGCTGGGGCCTGCCCAGAGCCGGGGGCCGTGGTGGCATCCCGGGCCTGCTGGACTGGCCGGAGCGGAAGGGGCGAGGCGTAGGGGAGCCCTGGAGTTGGGAGACGCAGGGTGAGCCAGTTTCTTGATTCACCAGCAGCGGCTTCTGGTCTGGCGTCACAGGGGCTTCGTAGGGCCTAGGACATCTGGAGGCAGCAGGAGGAGGCTGGTGAGATGGGGCCAGGTTTTCCAGGAACACTCAGGGAGTCCTGCTGCGGAGGCACTGGTCTGGGGAGAGGCTGGGTGCCTGGGAGCCCTGAGGGAGCCACCTAGGGCTGTGGGAGTCAGCCTGGCCCTGCGGCGAGCGGGCTCAGTAGTCGGGTTAGCAGGTGAGTCCGTGTTCACTTTATAGCTTCCTCTCCCGGCAGGTGTTTCTACTTGCGCATGCGCACGCGCCTCCACCGGGTCTCTGGATGTTGGAGGAGGGGTACCGAGGGTGATGTGAGACTAGCTTGCCTTCTCTCCTCAAAAACTCCTTTTTTTTTAGTTCTGTGGTTCTCTCGGGTTCTGTAATCCCTCTAATCTCTCACCTGGAACCCTTCAGTTCAGTTGTTCAGTCGCTCAGTCGTACCCAACTCTTTGCGACCCCATCGACGGCAGCACGCCAGGACTCCCTGTCCATCACCAACTCCCGGAGTGGTTCTTGTGAATTTATGGTGGAGGAGGGGGGAGGTGGCGTGTGCTAAGTGGTGGACATTTCAATGCCCCCGTTTTGCTGATGTCCAGAACTTTAAAATAGTTATTATAAGTGTACTGATTTAAACAAAGGAAATTGTGGACATAATGAAATAGAAATAAACAGCAACATAAAAATCAACTAAGTGCAACTTTTTGAGATGAGAGATAGCATGTCTAAAATGAACATTTCTCTGCAAGGTTTTGCCAACCATCAGACATTAGACACTGCAGAAGATAAAGATCAGTGAACTTGAAGATACAGTAGTAGAAACAATACAAAATAAAACACAGAGAGGAGGAAGACTTTAAAAATTGAAAAATTTCAGTGATTCACGTGACAATATCAAGCATTCTAACTCGTAGTTTTATGTTTGGGAGGTAGGAAGGGATTCGGAGGAAAATATATATATATATACATATATATATATATATGTATATATATATATGGAGAAATACTTGCTGAAAACTTTCTGAATTAATGAAAAGCATAAAAATATACAGCCATAAAACACAAACGTTCATACTAAAAACCTCATAATCAAATCACTAAAAAATAAAATAAAAATTGGAAAATGCCAGAGAAAAAGCCTCATTGTGTATATACAAGGGAGCAAAGATAATGCTCATAAACTTATCATGAGAAACAAGCAAGCCCCAAATCGTTGAAATAGTATTAATGTGCTGAAAGAAAACTGCAAACCCAGAATTTTTATCCAAAAAAATATTCCTCACAAATTCAAGAAAGAATAATAGCTTTTTTTTTTTCTCCAGAAAGGTATATCACTAGCAAAGCTGAATTACAGTAACGTATGTTTTAGTTAGAAAGGATATATATGCACACCAACATTTTGGGTGTTACATTGTATTGCTTCTGCTTACTTTGAGTACTTGGAGTTTTGATGTGGCTTGGCTGCATGATGACTAGGGATTTTTGCTGAAACTCCCTAGATGGATTTCTAAATATTCCTCTCAGCTAATGGACATTGGTAACCATAGTAAAAACGCAGCCTAGACAAGTAACTGAGTTTACAAAATTAGTTAATATCTCTCACATTGTGTAAATTAATTTCTGGTTCAGACTCATTTAAAACTATATTATTAAAGAAACTTGACTTTAAAATGCAGTCCAATTTCAGTCTTTGGTTTATTATTTCCATGCATTATCTGGGAGAGTTTTATTATATTCTGCATATATACTTGTTTCACATTTGATGTCTTTAGTTTAGTAAAACTAGGATAAAACCAGTTGCTTGGTAGAATAAACTAATGTGTGACTTAAACTGATTTTAATTTTACTTGAAGAATGTCTTCTGAATTATCTATTGCACCTTACTCAACCCAGAAGAGAGTTAATTAAAACTTGGTAGATTAATTGAGCAAATTTTAAGCATTTTAAAATGTAATTTATCCTCTGTTATTTTTAACTTTTTGCTGTAATGTGTGAGCCAGTTTATTGAATATGGTAAAATATTTATTCATTCTTTCAACCAGTATTTATTTTAAATGAAATATTTTTCACTTAATAATAGATATGTATAGGACAATTTATCTGCACCAGAGCTACACAGGCCTTTCCGAGAAAGAAAACATCCTGTGTTTCACTAGAAAATCAGGTTGCATACACATCTACTTCCTGTATTTTTTACTCACCAAACTCAAGAACATTTATTATATAAAATATGTTGTGTCGGGTACACATTACTTAAATATAAAGTGAGGAAGGAGCTCATTTCATCCATTCAGACAGTTCTCATAGGAAGAATTTACTGTCAGTCCAAATGGAAATAGCTTTACATGATAAATGTTTTTTAGAGTTGAGTCTGTCCACTAAAGGTAGATTTATAAATTCAAAAAATCCTATGCATATATATTTAGATTGCTGTAAGATTTTTTTACAATATTGAGTATTACTTTAAATAAAGATTTCCTCCTCCAGTTCAGAAAATTATTTTTTATGAGTATGACTTTATTTACAAAAAAGGACTTTAAAATGTTTTCTTATTTTGTTTCCAGTTGAGTACTCAGATGAGCACATTATGTTCTTCATATTTTATGACACGTAAGGATTATAGATGGTCTTTTCCAACATGTATCACTGAGTTACCTAATTATCTTTTCTGGCTAATAATATATTTTGCATATATCTGACCTAGATCAGGCCATGGTCAACTACATGGAAACCAAAAATTGCAAGCAATAACTTCAATAAGAACAGGAAAGTAGTGCACAAGCATGCACATATATGTATACCACATACATGTGCACAAACGCACATGTTCATGTGCACTCACACACTACATGGAAACCAAAAATTGCAAACAATAACTTCAATAAGAATAGGTAAATAGTGCACAATCATGCACATATATGTATACCACATACATGTGCATAAACGCACATGTTCATGTGCACTCACACACCATGCATAACATAACTTGAAATAATGAGGCTTGGAAATAAAACAGTAAAGCATGTTTATACACCATTTCCAAATGAAAGTCACAAAGGGAATAAGGCATAGGCCCTATAATGGATGATCAAAAGCACTTATGAATAATGAGAGAAGACTGCAAAATATTTATATCAATCTTTACAGACATCCTTTCTTACACTGATAAAAGCATATCCAGTACTGCCACAGACATTTCCATTGATGTATCGTTAGTAGCATCCATCAATCTACAACCTGCATTGAGATATCAGTGAAATTTGACAGTCTTCTGATTGTACTTTCTAAGGCCTGAATCTTTCTGCTTTTGATCCTCCCCACTTCAATTTCCAGCCAATTTTAATTCAAGAGCTTGCTCCATTGCATTTTGTAACTGCTTGATATATTTGTAGGTTAATGCTTAATGTTTGAAACCTCATAACAGAAAATATAAGAATATAAACTTAATATAAACTTATAAGAATATAAACTAAGTGGATACCTTTCTCTTTCATTTTACCCCAGACACTAAGTTTCTTTAAAGAAAACAATGTTTAAAATAAGTCCTTTATATTCTTTCATTCAGAATACATGTTTACTAAGCATTTCTCTAATTTTTCTAGATAGCGTTATCATTTATTTTATAATAATAAAATTAATCAGTTTTGCCTTAAAACCAAGTGGAAGAAGTGCCAAAATATCTCAATATTTAGTTTTTAAAATTCAATATGCAATATTTGAATCTACTTCACTTTAAGCTAATGCTATATTAAGCAATTCATGAGATAGGATTTAATATAGGCTAATTTAAATAAACACCACTCAAAGGAATTTTTGTTAAGGTACCTGGGCAAGATAGAATAGCAATAACTCAGTGGGTCTGCATTCATGGACCTGTTCACAATGGAATCACAGTGTAATATGAACATCTATGAGGTTCAAATGAGAATTTACATGGTCCTTTTTTATTACACATTTCTAACATATATTTACTTATACACGCCATTCATGAATTGTTATTAGAATGTGTAACAGTAATAATTATAAGGATGATAACAGTTTACATTTATTTAAAGTGTACTATGTGCCTGGTCTATACTTTATGAAAGGTTTTTTAGCTAACCCCCAAAAAGCATTAAGAAGTAAGTAGTATTACCCTACTTTTACAGAAGAGGAAACTAAAGTTCAGAAAAACTAAGAAAGTTATCATATTATATGAAGAATACATGAGACACATTCAGGTGGTAGAGAGCTGATCGACACATCAGAAATAAATTAATATAGGACAAAAAGCAGTGGAAAATAGGAGTGGATAAATAGTATCAACAAAATGCAGTTATTGAGAGCCAGAATAAGGTGTTCAAAGAGAATGTAAAGATGGCTTAACAGTTTTGGAATCAAACCAGAAAGATTCCCATCTTCATCACTTACTAATTACATTCAGTTCAGTTCAGTTCAGTTGCTCAGTTGTGTCCAACTCTTTGCGACCCCATGAACCTCAGCATGCCAGGCCTCGCTGTCCATCACCAGCTCCCGGAGTCCACCCAAACCCATGTCCATCGAGTCAGTGATGCCATCCTGCCATCTCATCCTTTATCATCCCCTTTTCCTCCTGCCCCCAATCCCTCCCAGCATCAGGGTCTTTTCCAATGAGTCAGCTCTTTGCATCAGGTGGCCAAAGTACTGGAGTTTCAGCTTCAGCATCAGTCCTTCCAATAAACACCCAGGATTGATCTCCTTTAGGATGGACTGTTTGAATCTCCTTGCAGTCCAAGGGACTCTCAAGAGTCTTCTCCAACACCACAGTTCAAAAGCATCAATTCTTCGGCACTCGACTTTCTTTATGATCCAACTCTCACATCCATTTATGACCACTGGAAAAGCATAGCCTTGACTAGATGGACCTTTGTTGGCAAAGTAATGTCTCTGCATTTTAATATGCTGTCTAGGCTGGTCATAATTTTCCTTCCAAAGAGTAAGCGTCTTTTAATTTCATGGCTGCAATCACCATCTGCAGTCATTCTGGAGCCCAGAAAAATA